CCCTTTGTTAATTACATACATTAATTTTTGTACTTTTAATCTAAATACTCTAGCAACTAAATCGTGTCTGTCAGTACTTTTTTGGCCCGGCATTAGCTCCTCGGTTATTTCTTTCCATGTGGGATTGCAAGTAAAAGTAACAAAAAGATCAGGTCTTCCGTAAGTTCGTACATAGGCGAATGCGTCTTGTGTGTACTCATGTAGGTAGCGGGGACTGTTAACGAATGATGAGGGCAGAATTACCAGTTTACCTAAATCTCTGGGGTTTACATTGGCATCTCTAGAACCTGCATCTTGTAAATGTATATAATTCTCAACGCGCAGCTTTTTTTGATTTAAAGATATATAACGGAGACGTTCACTTTCTACCTTCATATACATGTCTACCAAAAATTTATGAAATAATTGTCTACACCGGGCTAAGAGGTTAAAATCATATACTCGCAACATCATATGATACGCATAAAATCCGTACATGATACTTTTTTGTTCGGAGTAGGCTCCTTTGTGACCGAGTTAATGAGTGGAATTTGAAAATGATAACCCTCTTGTCATTTGCTATAAATCAATGGGTATTGCAGAGCGTCATAAAACCTGTGTGTATCGGCTACCCATTGCAACGTATCAACACGTGCTCGCAAGACAATGTCTCGTGAAGAAAATTGATCACCACTAGTTACGGCTGCTATTTCGTTTATCAAAGGTGCATTGTAGCGCCTTTCATGCTCTATCTCCGACCTGCGTGAATGACGAATTTTTAATCCTCTTCAGGTAGTTTTCTAAAGCAGTTTTAAATGTTTTGACTAAAATGTTGCGTTCATGCAAGAATCTTTGAATTTTGAACACTGTGTCTCTCTCAACTCCCTGGATAAATTGGCAGTGACGGTCTACCTCAATTTCTTCGTCACCCATAAAATATACTTGTAAAAAATTATGCTGTTCGTTTTCAGCTGGAAAAAGTGAACCTATTCTATGATAAACTTGTAAATGTAGGCGAAAATACCGGCATTATTATTTCCCGGTCAACACCGAAGGACGTTATTTGAAAGCATGAGTTATATTTCCGGATCCTGTTTAAAAAGCGCCGTGACTCATTAGCATCATATAAAAAGAGAGTTTTCAAAGGTTCTTCTGGTAACGGAAGAGACACTTTGCCATTGGAACAGCGAATGCCTCTGGTCTCATCTTTTACCACCATTTTAAAGCGCTGCAAAATCGACATGCCTTGTCCATCAGTCCGATAACAACTAACCTGTGATTTTTATAATCAATCAACGGATCGTAATTGAATGCTGCGTCATTAAAAACCGACCAATTGTTTCTTTGAAAATTTTGTCGATGTTCACCTTGGAGCTGTGCATTTGCATCTCTTCGCGCCTGTGTCTGTTCTGGTGTTTCAGATGCCCTTATAGTAGATTAACGTTCAGCTTGCTCAATGAGTCTATGTTGAGTATCATCAGGTGTTTCCGCGGCTCTTAAGGCGGCCTGACGTTCCGCTTGTTCAAATAGCCTTTGCTGACTTTGAGTAGGTGTTTCACTAGGTCTTAAAGTAGACTGACGCTCTGCCTGTTCAAGACACCTTTGCTGACTTTGATCAGGCGTTTTAGTAGCTCTTAAAATAGCTTGACGCTCTGCCTGTTCAAGACGCCTTTGCTGACTTTGAGCAGGTGTTTCAGTAGCTCTTTAAGTAGCTTGACGCTCTGCCTGTTCAAGACGCCTTTCCTGACTTTGAAAAGGTGTTTCGGAAGCTCTTAAAGCAGCCTGACGCTCTGTATATTCAAGAAGCCTTTGCTGACGTTAAGAAGTTGACGTTCTTGCCTTCTCAGTTCAGCATCTTCTAAAGATTCTAGCGATCGAGCTAATCTTTTCGCTTGTCTTTGAGAAGATACTCTTGAAAGGCTGGACTTCCGTTTGCGAGGCAAGTAACAAAAAACCTATTTATAAAATAAACTTAAAATACCTAAAAGGAATTAAATTTCCTTTTAAATATTTTTTTAAAAGCAAATCCAAAATATCTAAAAGGAATAAATATTCCTTTTAAATATTTTTTAGAATCAAACAACAAAACCAATTCAAGACACAACACGAATCCGAAAAGGATAGCCAAAATAAATCGGATCAACTTAAACCAAATCACAAAACAAATCGCAGAAAACCGAAATCGAAAGCAGTAGTCAATATAAATATAACCAACGAAAAAAGAAGTAAGTGTATAGGTACCGAATACACTATCTATACTATTAATATTCCTTTTAAATATTGTTAAACAACCTAAAACAACGAAAACCAATTCACGATTCGAAATAAACATAATTCAAAATCAAATCCAGAGTCTAAATATGTATACAGGAATACCAACCAAATCAACAAAACCGATCCAAGAAAATACACAAATCCGAAAATGAAAGCCAATATAAATCCATTCAACCTTAACCAAATCACAAAGCAAATAACAAACAACAGAAATCGAAAGCAGGTAATCGAATAAGCTACGAAATAGAAACAATTTAAGCGTATAGGTACCGTATTCACCATAAGTGCGCGGCTCAACGGCGGGAGTTAAGTACATGTCAGGAAACATTTCGTTACCGCGTTTTAAAAACCTAGTAACGACATCTAGCAGAATCAATTTAAACTATGTATACGTTAGTTAACAAGAACTCTCAAAAATATTTTTCTTATAATTTTGCACAATTTTTCTTATTGTAATACCGATTCATTCATAACCACAAATATAAGAACTGTATTCATTTCCGTTCAAAATATTACTAAGGCTTATTAATAAGGCTTACTAAGAACTGTTTCTACCACAGTTAAGTAATAATTAAGGGTGAAAGCGTGACAAGTGGTGATAGTATTTCTGATCCACACTTATAATCTCGCCTGTAACCCTTGCGGGGTAGGCAGAGCATCAACAGATTACTTAATATCGTCTGCGAGGTTATCGCCTATTCTGTGAATTACAATGCACCAAAACGTTTGAAGAAAATCAGCTTGTGAATTTTATGTTTTTTATCGCTCTCTTCTCGGTCCTGCGTGGAAAAATACAGATCCATACATTTTTTATCTTAATTTTGGTAAAAAGACATAATAATCCAGATATTCTGACCTTCTGTGTTTCGTCCATCTTGTAGAATCACGGTGGCGTCACCTAGCTGAATCTAATTTTGCAACATATTCGATTTTCCTAAGGGAAAATACCAAAATTCATGCCATGCCGACACTCCGTTGCGACGTGAAAGAAGGACAAACTTTTGCAACATGTTCTATTAAAGGTTTAGTGTAGGGAATTTCCTATTTCCCACGGGAATGAGATGTTTATATATATATATATATATATATATATATATATATATATATATATATATATATATATATATAAATATATAGATTTATGTATTCTGAGCTTTACAATAGATATGTGTGTGTTTGTGAAGCTAAGAAGTTTTCACTTCTAACGAACGTGCAGTCCTACGACTGACAGATTTTTTTTTGTTTCTCAGACATGTGGTACTATTCATCAGTGGGAGCAATAAAAAGTATTAAGGAATGTACTTCCTAGAAAAAACGCAAAGAAAACTGCTTCAGCATTCTTCCACAAATGAAACAAAAACACCTCGCATGAACTAGAACTTCGCAAAGGGTGTGGAACTCTAACTACTCAATATCTTGTATCAATAACTTCTTATAAAAATAATAATAAACCGTTTAATAATAATGTTGCTCAGGTCGATTTTAATATAGCCAAATTTTCAGCCTATACTTTTCAGTCAATCACACATATTATACTCATATGTGGTGTGCAATAAGCATTTGATACTTCTACACCAAAAAAACAGTGTTCAAGATATGATAACATGCTCACAGTGCCTAAAGACCTGTGTTTTACATAAATATCTGTTATTACTATTATTAAAATACGTGAAACTGAACTGAATTGCAGTAAACTGAAAAAATATTTTTAATCTTAAACCTAATTTAAAAGGGTAAAAAACATAGCATCGAATTAATTAGTAAATTAGATTGTTTCTTGTATTTATATTTCCCATAAAAATATTTTTCGTTACTTATTTACTTTTTATAGTCATGTATATAATATAATATTTGTAAAGGGTAAAAGGGTCTTTCTCTTGGTAAAAGTATTTTATACAAGAGAAGTGTTGCGTAAGACTAGTAGGCTTAAAGAAAATTACTTAGCCAATATTGTCACAAAAACGATCCATTTCCATTGTTATTTGTGTAATTTTTTTTTTCTTAAGTTTTCATAGCTACAGACATTTACGGGGATCTTTGTTTTAATAAAGTCGTGCAGCTAATTTTTTAAAAATAGTCGGCTGATTTCAATAAAATTACCTATATTTAAAAAGAATGTAAGATAAAACAACTCCCCAATTCGTTCCATAGTTATCGTAAAAGTTGACTATAAACTATGAGGAATGCTAGTAAAATTCATGGTTTTCGACACGGTAATAATATCTCTGCTACGGTGAGAGATGCAAGGTGCGTGTCCAGCTGTGGACTTTAATGGACTGTTCAAGTAGTAGGGGAGTTGGGGGAATTGGGAGTCACTTAAGGAAAACTCGTTATTATAATCACTAATAATCAGTCTTATAATTTATTCACATTTACTTATCTTTAAAAACTATTCAGGTATCGAGTTACTTAAGTATTTTTGGTTATCATTACCATAAACATAATTATAATTAAAAAACCAAAAAGTCATTTTGGCTCCTATTACCCACATGTAAGGGGAATGAAAGTCAGTCTATGAGGGAATAAGAGTCAAAATTATGAAACAAAAAAAGTAACAAAACTCTTTAAACAAACAAATAAGAATTAACAAAATCAAAAGTTAGAAATGGTTACCCCATGGAATCATAAAACAGAATGGAATATAAATCGAGTTAAATGCAAAAATCACAGCGATAGCGATTTGGATCATCACATCCTGTACATGCCTCATGAGCCCATCCAGCACAGAGACGGCAACGGTACCAGATTTATCTCAGTATTCCCTCTTCGAGGCATATCGTGCACACAGGCTGATCACGCTCTTTCTGAGTGTTTTTCTGGATGTTTAGCGGGATTTCAATATTTTCTAAGTCACTATCAGCACTCTCGTCATACGGAACCTGTTCATCAGCCGATTTTTCAGATGAACTTGACTTAAATAAGTTCTTTTTAAGTTCTTTTATCTTCTTAATTACTTTGCCTCTTGTATGCAGTAAGAATTCCGGATTGATGTGTTTTTTTCCTATGCCTTTACCTTTTTCAATGCTAGGCAGAGGTATTAGTTGTGAAAGTACGCTAGCTAGAGGTTCACTGTCGGATTTATTGTTATCTTGATTTATACTATCATTTGGTTTATAATTTGTAATATCAACACTTGTAGAAGGTTGCGGTCCTATAACGTTCCTACTGCTAGTTGATGCTGTTGCTTCTGAAATGTTGTTAGTTGAATGGTTATCTGAAACTTCATTAACTCTTAAAGTCTGTTATGGTGGCAGAAATATTTTCAACACAGAGAACATCAGAGGATTTAGTCACTTCGGTTTTATTAAATCCTGCAATTCTCTGTATACTTACAGCTTCAGGATTTCGAATGCTTATTCGTAGATTTTTCTTAAGAAATCCTTGGATCCAGTCCCTGCCAGCCATTCTAGCATCTCTATTAAATTTATGAGATAGCTTTAAATTTTCAGCACATTGAAATGTTATTTTTCTTAGCTAATATGTCGTTAAACCAACAAACTTATTTTCTTGCTCTTCGTTAAAAACGGCATGCCTTCCTAATTTTAGAGGTTTAAATATATCTTTCTTTATCCTTCTTTGTAATGTGCTGAAAGGAATACGAGTTTCCTCGGCAACTTTGCGCATTGCCGCCTTGTCTGATGCATACAGCAGCTGACTGCAAGTCGCCTACAGTCCAACTCGCTTTAAAGGTCTTTCTAATCCAGTTCCTTGACGTCTGAAATGAACAAAAATGTTTATATATAATGAAAAACGATGCGGGAAATGGGGGTCAACTAACTCTCATTACCCCAAGGACGGTTTGTTTGCTAGATTTGAATTATTAAATAAAAACACCAAAAAAAACTAATAAATTGCAATTATAAACATAAGTTTAGTCTTAGTACTACACTTTATGATTATTTTATATGCAAAAGTAACAAATATAGATACTCACGTTTTCGATCGAAATTTCTAAAATTTTACAACGGCTCCTCCTCTATGACACATGTGTTGTTCCTGATGACGCGAGGGTGAGTGGCGGGCCGGCGTATTGGCAAGTGCGAGAGGGGTGCGGAGCTACACCCCATGCAACAGAGCTGTATTCTGTAAAGCTTTAGGTTCAATTCATTTTGAACTGACCCGCATTGCCCACTGCCTACCATTCCCCCCTGGCTGTCGTGAGGGCTCTTAACCCAATGCTGGTGACCTATTTGGAAGCCAGCCGGGACCTTTGCGAGACGGACTCAATTCTCTTTGGCGCCGCAGTGGCAGTTTGCCGTATTATTGGCGCCAAACTTCCCATGGCTGGACGCGCTACTACACAAAGTAGCGCCATCCCAGCCTGGAGAAAAAGAATCGAGGACCGTATCGCAAAGGCAAGGGCCCTTATCGGCAGACTGACAAGCTTCAGGTCGGGTAATAATAGACCGAGGATTATGCGCACCGTTAGGATGGCGTTTGCTGGGACAAATATCAGTTTGTCCCAGCCGGATATCACGCAGAAACTAACGGAGCGCATAGACGACCTGAAGCAAAAGATCGCTGCTTGGGGGAAGCGGATTCGACGATTTACCGACAGGTCAAGGCGGTTCAACCAGAATCGTCTCTTCCAGAGTGATCAGAAGAGGCTCTATAAATCATTGGAGCGGCCAAAGGTATGTGGAGCGGGCCAAGGACCGGATCAGGCAGACATTATCGCATTCTGGCGTGGCCTGTGGTCAGAGCCCGTAAACCACAGCGAGGGCCCTTGGATGGAAGTTGTGGCGAGCCAGGGTGCGAGTGTTACGCCTATGGACCCCATCACCGTAACGCCGGAAGACGTGGCTGAGGCGGTCCGTAGGGCCCCGAACTGGAAAAGTCCGGGGCTCGACGGGCTGCATCATTACTGGCTGAAGGGGTTCATAGTGTGTCACGCTGTGCTCGCCCGACAGTTTCAAGAGGCTCTCGACCAGAAGTCGCTCCCGAGCCTCTTCACTACTGGGATCACTCACTTGGTTCCTAAAGATCAGGATACCACAGACCCGAGCAAATACCGCCCCATCACGTGTCTACCCACCATATATAAGACACTGACATCCATTTTGAGCGCGAGAATCACTCGGCACCTGGAGCTAAACCAGTTGATGTCACGCGCTCAAAATGGATGTCGGGGCGGTGGTCGTGGAACCAAGGAACCACTCCTCATTGACGCGGTCATTGGCAAAGTGGTGAAACGCAACCGTCGGAACTTCTCTGCCGCCTGGATAGACTATAGAAAGGCATTCGACTCGGTGCCCCATACATGGCTAAAGAGGGTCCTCGAGCTGTACAAGATTGACTGTACAGTTAGAGACTTCCTCGAGCAGTGTATGGGGCAGTGGAGTACGATCCTTTGTCATCTGGGCGAGCGGATGATGGCTGCGGAGAACCACATAAGGATAAGAAGGGGTATCTTCCAGGGCGATTGTCTGAGTCCAATCTGGTTCTGCCTCTCTCTAAACCCTCTCAGTACCTTACTGGAGGGCTCCGGGAGGGGATTTCAGCTACGGAGAGGAGGGACAAAAGTGACCCACCTTTTCTATATGGATGACCTCAAGTTATTCGCCTCCAGTCGCTCCCATCTTATGGAACTGCTAAACATCACTTGTGAATTTAGCAGTTCCATTGGAATGGAGCTGGGGACGGATAAGTGTGCGGTCCTCCATGTTGAGAGGGGAAGGGTTGCTAACTCTGAGGGCATAGACTTGTCTATGCCCGTCAACTTAAGGACCCTTTCCGAGGCTGAAACATACCGATACCTGGGTATGTCACAGAACATCGGTATCGATGAGGCTGGTATGAAACAGTCAGTTTGCGACGTGTTTTATGCACGCTTGACCAAAGTGCTTAACAGCCTTTTGTCCGGTGTGAATAAGTCACACGCATATAATTGCTGGGTCATGCCTGTCCTCATGTATACCTTTGGCATACTCAGGTGGACTCAGACTGAGCTTAACGCCCTGGATAGAAAAGTCCGCACTACCATGACGTCCCATAGGATGCATCATCCGAGATCGTCGGTAATGAGGCTGTACTTGCCGCGAAAGCATGGTGGGCGTGGCTTTCTGAGCGCGCTCACCATGCATAATCGCGAAGTGTGCAGTCTCCGTCAATACTTCTTGACGAGATCGGATGATCCATTCTATAATGACGTCATTTCTAGTGATAAAGGGCTTACCCCTCTATCCTTAGCCAACGAGCAATGGCAGGACCCGGCAGTGCTTAGCATTCCCGACCGGGAGACCGTATGGAAGGAGAAGGAGCTCCACGGGAGGTACTACAAGGCTCTACATGAGCCCTTCGTAGATACAGTCGCCTCCCTCAACTGGCTACGTTTCGGTGACCTTTTCGGGGAAACCGAGGGTTTTGTCTGTGCAATACAAGATCAGGTTATTAAGACCAACAACTATCGGAGATACATCCTAAAGGATGGCACCGTCGACGTCTGTCGAGCTTGTCGCCATCCCGGGGAGTCACTTAGGCATGTCATCTCCGGTTGTTCGGCGCTTTCTAACTCTGAGTACTTGCACAGGCACAACCTAGTAGCCAGAATTCTACACCAGGAGCTCGCTCTGAAATACGGTCTCGTGGACCGGAAAGTGCCGTATTACAAGTACTTGCCGGAAGCCGTGCTCGAAAATGACCGCGCCAGGCTCTACTGGGACCGGGCCATCATCACAGACAGGACTATTCTTGCGAATAAACCTGATATTGTGCTGATGGACCGGGCACAGTCAAGAATATTTTTGGTCGATATTACCATCCCGTATGACGAGAACCTCGTGAAAGCCGAAACAGATAAGCAATCAAAGTATCTGGACCTGGCTCACGAGGTGACCGACATGTGGGGTGGTATGCCGACCGAAATTATTCCTGTAATTAAAAAAAAGACAAGAGACTAATATTGTATTTAGAGAAAAATAATATATTATCCAACAATCAATATGGTTTTAGAGCTGCTAGATCTACAGCTGATACAGTTTCTGATCTAACTGAATTTGTAGTTAGTCAAATAGATAGTAAATTTAAATGTATTGGAGTGTTCTTGGATTTGGCAAAGGCCTTCGACACAGTTTCTGTTCCGATTTTGCTGAGTAAAATGGAAAAATTTGGTATCAGAGGGATGGCACTTGCTTTATTCAAGGACTACTTAAAAAATAGGATCCAGAGGGTAACCATTGATGGATATTTTAGTAATAATGCTCCTATTAACTATGGTGTACCTTAGGGTAGTGTACTCGGGCCAACCTTATTTTTAATTTATTTTAACGATTTATGTAACCTAAAATTAGATAGGTGCCAAATTTTTACTTACGCTGATGACACTGCATTAATCTTCTATGAAAAAAGTTGGGACGAAGTTAGGATTCATGCTGAATTAGGAATGCAAGCAACGTTACAATGGCTCAATCAAAACCTTCTTACTTTGAATATCTCAAAAACAAAATTTATGTTGTTTGCAAATAATAAACGAGCGCTAACTACTGAAAATTCATTTAAAATAAAAATACACACCTGTAAAAACAAAAGCTCAATTCAATGCAACTGCACATCTTTAGACCGAAATGACACAGTAAAATACTTAGGCGTAGTGTTGGATGAAAATCTGACATGGTGCCCTCATATTAATCAGTTAGCAGGGAAAACAAGAAGCTTGGTATATATATTCAAAAAACTAAGACACGTGGCAGACTATTCTCTACTTAAGACTGTTTACTTATCTTTGGCACAGTCTATATTGTCGTACTGTATTACCTCATGGGGTGGAGCCCGTAAAACTCATCTCATAAAATTAGAAAGAGCGCAGCGTATATTACTCAAAGTAATGATATTTAAACCATTTAGCTATTCTACAGATAAACTATATTCAGAATGTGACGTATTGACAGTTAGACAATTGTATATAAGAGACACTGTTATATTCCAACATGAAAAACTTACATATGATCACGAATTAACAACCAATCGCCGGAAAAATAAGGTCTGTCCTACTTGCCATTTTAAAACATATTTTATAACTAAATTTCAATGCTACTTAGGTCCTATGCTTTACAATAAAATAAATAAAATACTACAAATCTACTCACTTAATAAATATCAATGTAAAAAACTACTATTATCTTGGTTAAAAACTCTAAATACAGAAGAAACTGAAAATTTCTTGGTCACTTTGAAATAACATTAAACTAGAATAATTTAACTATTCTATCTAATTTTAGGTTACATAAATTCTACTAAAAGTACTTTATCTATAATAATTAAAAATTATTCACTTATATAGCTATTTATATAACTATATTTAATTAAGTCTAAATGTAATTAAAAAAAAAACCTTTGCAAAAACCATGAATTAAATAATTATATAATATGTATTGACTGTTTACTGTACATTGCATAAGTTTTTGTTAAATACCTATAGAATTACTAAAATTATATATCATATATCTTTGCAATACTTCATTGTAACCTATCACCAAAAGAAATAGTTCTCTGACTTGTGATAACAATAATCATTTATTGGATTACAAATTAAGAAATTAAAAATGTTCCTATAAATAGTAGTCTAACCTTTCATACGCATAATAAGTTAGTATGACGGTAATCGCAAAAAAGTGATAATGTATTTACGAATTTGTAACGTAAAACATAGATTAGGTGAATTATAATATGCCGTATGCTTTTATAATTGTAAATAATGGTGCCTTTGGAAGTGACTAGTGTCTAAGATACAGGCTCGGCCTAGTTTAGACGCTAGTGTATAAAATTGTATAGATGAGTTATAACTGTTCAAATGTCTTAAAGATAAATAATGTAATCCTTACTTGGTGTCAATAAAAATATTATATATATATATATATATATATATGTATATATATATATATATATATATAATATATTATTATTATTGGGGTATCTATATAATTTTCTCACCTGGTTGGGTTCTATAAATATATAATTATAAATTAAAATGGAAAGATAAATATACATAAATATCAATAAAATAAAATAAATACAAAAACTACATAAAAAAATAATATCCAACCAGATGGGAGCCCTCGGCAGGGGGAGACCAGACGGCCGAGGGTTAGGGGGAAAGGGAAAGAAACCGGCGGACGATGCGGGCGGTATTGAGGAGCACCGCCCGCATCGTCCGCCGGTTTCTTTTCCTTTCCCCCTAACTTTGGTTTTTATTTATATATGTATTTTTATATTTATTTGATGTTACTGATATTTATGTACTTATATTTATCTTTTCATTTTCATTTATATATAATAATAATAAATCATTTACTTCGGAAAACTTGTATATATTGTGTTAGTAAAAAATGGCTTACAAACTATGTTGGTAGTTTATTAAATGGGATTAGAAAAATAAAATTGTTACAATAAATTACGTAACGAAAGGGTATGTTCCCGTGATCGTTACTCTTCGCACAAAACATTTCCAAATCGGTGATGTAAATCGGTAGATATATTCAAAATATATATATATATATATATATATATATATATAATAAGAGACTCTCTCGGTTTAAGGTTGCAAATAGCCCCTATGGTCCCCTTCTGCAAAACAAAAATAGTTTCTACATCAGCCGCACTTCCCCATAGCAAAATCCCATAGGACATTATGCTATTAAAATAACTGAAATATACAAATCTAGATGTCTCGACACTAGTGAGTAGTGATATAGCTGCAGCATGACTCTACCAAGTAGATAGACCAGATGGACTGAGTGTCATCGTATATGTAGAAAATGCTTGAAAAATATAATATTATTTATTCAATTTCGATGCTTGACGTCATTTAAAATGC